GAGAAATGTGGCATTGTGTTACCTTTTTGTGATATCCTTAAGGTCTAGCTCCATCGAAAATGGCTGGACACTCCTGTTTGCTTCTGCATTGAATCTGTTGCCATATGCCATTTGGTTGAAGTACATGAAGAAAATCCAGTCTCACACAGGTATACTATAAAAGGGAGGAGTATTTTCATAACTTTTACAGGTAACTGTGGCTAATCTTACTTGATGCTACACCAACACTCAACAAGTAGCAGATTTTTTAAGAGTAGTTGCAGTGTGAAATCTGAAATGCTATCGGTGACATTTTCATACTGGGACATTAAAATCTATTGGTCTGTCTTACACTTCAAATGATCTTTTCCCATTCCTTGCTTTGTAACATTACGTATCGGTCATCTGAAAGTATGGCTCACTCAGGCAGATAATCCAAATGTTGACACATTTAATTATATAAAACAAAGTATTTGTTCATATCGCCAATGATCTAATCAGAAAACTATCTGAGTTGTAGGAAACTGTCAGGCTCACGGTGGTGGATACAAGTTTCCTAAAATTATAATTTCTCCGTAAAAGCTCAAATTTTCATTGGCACCATTGTCAGTTGTTTCCCTTGAAGCAGCAGTAGTCCGGTTAAGTTCATTTATCGGAAAATGTCAGCCAAATACGCAACTCCGACTAGCCATAATTTGTCTGTTGTTCCTGCAAGTAAAAATAGTGTTCAATGGGAAGGAGTGGTGGTTTGTTCAGCTTTCAACTCAAACAGCAGAGCAGGTGCTTTTCCTCCAGACAATTACTGTACTGGTCATACAGCACTAGTGTCTTTTGCATGGTTCCCATTTTATGACAATTTATTAAAAAGAGGTGTATTCAGGGATGGAGATCAAATAAAATTAATGATTTTTACTGCCCTGATCAGGCATATTATTAAGTGAACTGGCTTTTTTTTTTTTTTTGACCCTAAGAGTGCATGGTGGTGAAAAGTACAATAGTGACCAGTGCCACAGCCTTGATTCATGGTAAAGCTCTAGGCTGTTATTCCCATTATTGCTTTTGCATCATCAGAGAAATGTCAGTGCAGTATAAAAAGCAAATAATGTCTCAACACTATTATGAAAGTAATTTTGACCTCACACATGCCTTGCAAAGGTCTCAGAAACACCCAGGGGTCTACAGACCCAGACTCTGAGAACACTTGGACTATGAGAAGCTATAAAGGAGAGCAAGGGAGATGAGATGCTTTGTACCTACCAGGGCTATACAAAATGGAAAAGATGTTCTACATTTATTACCTCATGTGGGATTATAAATACAAGCTCCTCCTAAACAAGTATCTGTGCTTCCACTTTAAGGACAAAGAAACAGACTTTAGGAAGTGATAGAATATAGAACCTAGTCTGTCTGACTCCAAAACTCATGTCCCCACACGCCCCGATAGTGGAAAAAGATATCTTCTTTCTAGCTTTGATTTAGGGACCCTCTTGCAAAGTACCCACCCCTCCTCCATGATAAGCCATGTCCCCACACTATCTTCTAGCCTGTTTCCATGTCTGGGCTGGCCTCTGACTCCGCCAGTGAAACTACTTCTCTTTCTACCAGTTATCTAAGCCACAGGTGACAAGAATATGGCATAAGAGGACTTTTTCTCCAATGAGCCTCCATTGGACATTAATAATCTTTACTTTTCAGTAAGCCTGGAATTGGCCTCAGAAAAGTCTCAACTAGGTCTAGGTAGCCATAATCAATCAATAAGTCAATCAGAGCTAACAACAGATATGAAATTTGTCAGCCTTCATCTCTAAATTATTATGAAGCATGCGTGTGGGTACAGAGCATGAACCTCCTCCTTCGTTACAAATACAAAATGTAAGTTTGCCAGAAGAGATGTGGCAGCTCCAAGTGATGAAATTACCTAGAAAAACAAACATAATCATTCAGAGTAAAGATTGTTGACCCCAACTGATCAGTCTCCCTGAATTTACTACAAGTTCAACAGTCCACTAGATGTTTCCTACCTACCACAGAACTCTACACCGTATCTGTTTCCACTTTTCCAAATTGTGCTTTACAGACTAAACATAATTGGGCTTCCATAAATCACTGCAATGGCTTCCCCAACCCTCACTGCAACACTTTTTCTGTCTGAACACTTCTGATATTTGACTGGGTTCTTCCTCATGTTGCACTGGTCTTAACATCTAAGATAGTTGAAGGTATTTTAGAAGCTGGAAGAAAAAGCAGGATTTGGGAACAGAAAAATCTGGATGCAGACAATGAGGACACTGTTTAGAGGGCTGAGATTCAATCTGAACGTCCACTCACATGGTCACAAACCTGTTTATGCTTCACTATTTTCAGGCAGAAAATCAAATTGTGGAAGAGTGCAATCTTTGCCTCTTTGATTAAAAAATAGATTTTATCTTACTCATTACGCTGCCCCCAGCTTCTCAGGATCTCAAATGAAAATTTTAATGGAAAAAAGACTATTTTATGTAATTATTCTTCACTATATGTTTTTCAATTATTCATAGTATTTCAGTCCCCATTACTTATCATTACAATGACATTTCCCTGGAGAAAAGAATTCTCATTATATACTTTCTACACTAGAAATTCCTAATCATTTCTCATTTGAAATTGTTCTCCTACCAGTCTACCAAGACAAAGGGCAAATCAAAAGGAGTTGATTGATACTCATACAGAGTTCCCCACTAGAGCCTCACACATAGAGGATAGATCCAGGTTTCCTCCTAGCTTGGAAAATGTGTCCTGCTGGAGTTAAACTGCCAATGTCCTCTGAAAACCAAAATAAAACAAAACATACACCTTATCAAAATCCCTTCACAGGAGAAAATGTGAAAATAGAAATAGAGATGTGACTTTAGCTTAATAACCAAAAGTTATGGGTTTTGTTTAGTACTTTTTTTTTTTAAAGATTTTTTATTTATTTATTTGAGACAGAGAGAATGAGAGAGACAGAG